ACATTTTTTTTCCCAAATAAGGGAGTTTTTCCTGCTATTTGGGGGACAACAATTTTTTGACCAGGCCACTATTTTGGCATGGAGACCTTCTGTAAGTCTTCATGGCTCCTTGGAGGAAAGGCTAGGTGTGAATATAATACATAAATACATAAATAATACATACAAAATAAATAAAACGCAGCCTCATCTCACTTAATGGAAAGGTATTCTCTAGTTCAAAGCTAGCACTCCTCTCTCGGTGGCTGCAAGGATCCTTCCAAAGCAATGGAATGTGGACGTGCTCTAGAAAAGCATCTGCTTATCTCCTAGGAAATCTTACCAAAGATGCAGGTCAGATTAATTCACCCCCAGAGATATTGTCCAGTTCTGGATGCGCACCTTACTGCCTTTTGAGTTCATATGTCAATTCTGAAAAGCAAAATCCTTCACCAAATGTATACCTTTTGTGTACTGATTTTATGGGCTTCAGGCATACAACAGATAGTCTGCTGAACTTTCTTGCCCTTCTGAATAACTCATATACAAGCTAAACGTACATCCCCCCCATGTTGGTCTTAAGTATGTTCAACTTCCTCATTTCTGTTTTGTTTCTCACATTTTACTTGCCTCTTTGCTCATCCTTTCTCTCCCCCACCATATGTTTATATAGCCCTTGAAGTCAGCCATGAAAAAATGTGGGGGAGAATTATGAGATTTTTCTAAGTGATGCATCCAAAGAAAACTTCCCTTCCTAGTTGAAATCTTAGTATACAAACTCCAACAAGGATACTGGAAGTTCCCAGAATGCAATCATAGCTTAATCCCTCTGTAAGGATGTGGGGGGGATGCTATCATAAATCTCTGGAAACTGTTGTTCTCCAACTGAGTTGAGGATCTCCAACAAAGAATGCTTCGACTCATCACAAAATTATGATCCAAATTTCTTTAGAGAGGTTATGGCCAATAAAGTGGATTGAAACCAGTTTCAAAGTGATTCAAGTTCATAATTTGGCTGTACTGATGGAGGAAGGAAAAGTTCACTTTGGGGGTGCAAAGACATTTGTGCTTTGGGTCACTGCTACTCTGAGAGAGGAAACTAGATCAAGTAAGACATATAAGAACCAAGGGGCTTCAGGCCTATGTTGTGGTGAGATCCAAGAATACATGGAGTGTGTGTATAATTTCTAGCCATCAGATACTTTACCTACACTGTGAGTATTTTAGCCTAGGGTTCAGGTATTTTGTTGAACAAACCATAAACTGGGAGCGGTGGACATAACAAGTCCCCCTCATTTACTCCACAACTGTTTTTTAAATTCTTTATTAATTACTAAGTTCACAAAAAAGAGCAATTCAAAAGTAAAACTATTATAACATTATCCACCAGTAGATATGCCCAGAAAACCTAAATTTTCGTACAAGTTTTATACACTCACATAACAACTCACATTGATACACGTTTACAGTAACCTTACAATTTTAACCAGATTCTATAATCATTTCTACACAGAAGAACTTCATTCTGTCTCAGAAACCCAATAACTAGCTTCTAGATTTCATCATAATCACAGGGTAAAAAAGACAACTGGAAGCCAACGAAGAAAGAACTGTTTACCCCGTGATATAAACATCCCAAAGTTTGTCAAACTAGGCATCTATGGAAGGCCCGTTTGAGTTTTTCCACTTGGCTGCAATCACCTGTCCTGCAGCTGCAATCAATATCAAGACCAAGGAACACTGACTCTTTTCCATTGAATAATCCAGCCATAAATAAAAAATAAAAAAAGGTCTGGAGACACAGTGAGAGAAATGTTTACCATTTGTGAGATCTTATCAGCAATTGTGCCCCAAAAGGATTGGATCACAGGACAAGACCACAATAGATGTAAGGGGGAGCCTCGCTAATTACACCCTTTCCAGCAAAGTGGACTAGAAGAGGATCCAATTTTATTACGTTTGGTTAGGCACAGATACCAATTAGAGATTGTCTTATAAAATTGAAGCTTTAAAGGAAATATAGACAATCTGTTAGAAGGGGAGTTCCATATTTTCTGCCATTCTTCAGGAGTTAAAGTCCATTTTAATTCTTTCTCCCAAACCTAAGTAGGAAGGTTGCTGTTTATTGTATCTTGGATGTTCTTATAAATTTTAGACAGTAAACCTTTGGTTTCTTCCTCTGTGTTTCTGAGAATTTATTCAAACCCTGTTAACGGCTGAAGAAGATGACCAACTTTTTAAAACTGCATTATTAAATTTTGGATTTGAGAGTACTGAAACCAGTTAATTTGATGACCTAATTTATCCGGTCACAAGGCTTATCTAAACTTGATTCACCAAACCCCACCTGCTGGCATACCAAACCCACCTCAGATATTGTCCCTGTCCCCAACCACTGTTACATCTACATCCTGCCTATTGACTAGGTATTTTTAAAATCACAAGCTGGCAGCTGTCCTGGAAGAAGCCATCTTACAGCAGTGCACAGCAGAAAAAGCATCCAATAGATGAAGCTGCTTCATCCTTTGTTACATCTAGCTCAGTATGGTCTATTCCGAATGGCAGTGGCTCTCCAGGGTCTCAGGCACAGAAAGGTCCTTCCAAAACTCCTGTTACCTGACATCCTTTAACTGGAGATGGCAAGAATCTTGTCTTCCAGAAAAGGCTGCTGTTGATGCATCAATGAAAGCTGTATACCACAGAGAAGTTCTGGAACTCTACCTACAAAGTATCAATCCAACAGTATCAATAGACCAAGACAACCCAAGGAGCAAGTCTAGGCTAAAAACCTACATCAGCTATTTTAACTGTCATGGCTTCCCCAAGGAATCCTGGGAACTGTAGTTTGGCAAGAGAGCTGAAATTTCTCAGCTAGAGATTCCAAGCCTCTTCTCACAGAACCACAGTTTCCAGAGTAGTACTATTAAGCCAGTTTAACTCTGTAGTGTAGATAGAGTGTTTCCTAAGACTTCTTCAATGCTAATATCAAACTGTACCCGAAAATGCTGCTTTCTGAACTT